CCATTTTTTAAAAGTTTAATGATTTGGTACAATTTTATTGTGTCATTTGAAGAAAAAGAGTAGATATTAAACTTATTTAAAATTTTTTGACAGTCTCTATTATGAAAAAATTGACACAATATCCAAATTTTCATTTCGACAATTACGAAAAAAAGACTCTAACATAAATATCTCTGGTTCTTCTGGGAAGTTATTCAGATGAGAATTGTTTACAGTCCAGGACACCTTGAAGATGAAAAATCAAGAGGTTTAAAATTTTTCCACACCACCATTTTTAAAATACGGATTACTTTAGCGAATGACCGACAAAATGGGCCCTTTTCATTTTTCTAAAGAACCAATGAAATCAAACAGTTAAATTATCGATAAATTAATGAAAACCGCATGATTCGACTTGTCAAAACATGTAGATTGATAATAAAAAATAAAAAAAAATTAAGATTTTGTTCAAAAATTATTAAGACGATCGAAAAATGCATCATTTTTGGGATCTTTTTTCTCGGGTAAAATAACTCTAAACGTTTTGTAATTTATAGGGTACTTTAATACATGTCTTGAGAGTCTAAAAAAATTTTTGGAGAAAAAACAAAACATTTTTAGAATGGACATATACACCGCGTCCATGGCACCTCATTTTATCTGTGAACATTCTAGCGCTCTGAATTTTTTTCTAAAACAAAGAAATCAACGTTTTTTTTAAACTTTAGGATAATACCTTCTATATGACATTTCAAATTTTTTTAAAAAATTTCGAGAATTGATTTTTTTACCCACTTTTAAGTTAAAAGAGATTTTTTGTGCATAAAAATTGACTTTAAAATTCCAAAAAAATATGAAAAAAAATTTTTTTCAAGAAACACTAAATGTCATATTGAAGATTATTTAATTATCTTTAAAATGATGTATCATAAAGCCCGATTGGTTCAAAAGGGCGTTCTCAATCGTGTTCACAAAATTAAAAAATGGTATTTCGAGAAAAATGCGTTTGAAGTTTTTTTAAAATAAAGTGACTCGGATGTCAAACAAATGAAATAAGGATTGTCACATAGAAATTACAAATTATACTGGCAGTGGTACTCTGAATGAAAGAAGAAGGCAGATTGAATGCTAAAACAGAAAAAATTCTGGACTCTGGTAAACATTTCACCAGACGACGCATGAAAAAAAAATAATTAAAAATTTTGTAACTTCTTCAATAATACAGAAATCGACTTAAAATTTGATGGGTATATTCTTGAATAGTTGTAGAATCAATTAAAATTATTTCCAGAAAGTCGATTTTTTTGAAGCAATAAAGGAGGTTCCCCCCTTAAATTGCGATTATCTCGAAAACTAGAATCGACAATATGGGCCCTTTTTATGTGGACGTCCACATATGATGTTTTTGTGACAGGGTTGTTTTTACTCCTTTAATCGAGATTAAAATTTATGTGAAGTTATTTCAACAATTGATATTCGATAGGGTTATACTTTTGTTTTTATTTTAACCCTTAGTGATAGAACGTCCAAGCAATTTCGAAAAAAGATTTTTTAAAATGTTTCTAAAACTACACGGAGAGACTTTTAGTTACAAAAATTACTTTATTGTATTTCGATATTTCTAATAAAACGTTAGAATTTAGGGATAGTCGAGGTACGATGATAGTTCTTATTATAATAATAAGTAGTGTTATTTTTTTTATCTACTATTGTAATTTTTAGGGAACAGAAGTTAGTGTAAAAGTTTAGAAAGAATATCATTTGATGTTAAGACAATTGCAAATACGAGAATATGGAACTTATATTATAATACATTCTGATATTTTTATTTGTAAACCCACTATTTTTAATACTATTAAATGTAAAAAAATTTTAGATACTGTATTATTTTCAATACTAACACGCTCTGAAATGGTAAGCTGTTTGAATTTTTACAAAATTTTATTAGAATATTTTCACGAAGGTTTCCGAACAGTTCCGTCCACAACCGAAGACCAGTTAGGGGAGAAGCGGGTAAAACGGCGCACTCGCATTTAAAAAATGGAAGTATTTTAGAAAAAAAAATATTTTTACTTTCAATATTTATGTATTCCTTGAAAGTATGTAAAAAATGTAGACCATTTTCACTAATAATGAATTATTTTTTATGAAAAGTAGTTTTTCGATGTTCTGCGTGCCAATCTTAAAGACATGTCCAAGTTGTGAAATGTAAGCACAATAAACACGAAACAATGTTTCTAATGTGAAATGAAAATAATATATATTACAATTACTATATTATAAGTTCATTTTTATTAATAAATTAATATTTTATGTAAATATTAACAAATGAACAATGTTTTATTACATTTAAGTTTCTGTGAAATTAATAATTACTTCAAAATTAATTAAATTCAACTTTTTCTCTTGTTTAGAAAAAATATTGTCATTTCTGTTGTTTAAAAAAGGTATAAAATATAAACGAAATACAATAAGTTACAAATGTTTATTTTTGTTCATTTTGCATTGATTTCGTATATAGGTATAAATAAAGTAATCCCCCTACAAGCGTTTGGAATTTTAATGTCTGTAAAAATATAATTTTTTTCGATATTTGTAAATTTGCATTAAAAACATCGTAGAAATATAGAATAGGTAACCGCACTATAATAGAACACATTGTATGGCAAATTAAATGTATTTAAATTTTTTGACTCTCATAAATACCTTGTAAGACCTCGTAGAAATATTTTAAAGAAATATAATAAAATCTATAGGAACCTCATAAAAAATTGGACAAATCTCTACTACAATCCCTCATTGAAACTATTAGAAACCTATAAGTCTAACAGGTTTCTATAGTTTTTTAAGGTGAATTTTTAGCAAGGAAGTGAAGTGTTAGTGCGTCAAAGTTGATAACTATACATTATTTGATCAAAAGTAATAGAAGTAAGTATTTAAACAATAAAATTAAATGACCACTAAAATAACATTATTTCCACATTACAAAATTGAACTATTTGAAGATATCAGACGCAAGAAACCTTAGAATGATCCAGAAAGCGATTGGACAATCACAATAGGAAAAGGGTAAAATTTCTCTTTCAGATACACACAAGCATCGCAACATTTTCGCACTTCACTTTTCAATAAAACGAACTAATGCACTTTACACTAAAAATTTACTTCATAAAATTTGGTTTCTATTACTGATTTGGTTAATAAATTTAAAATTTAATTTTTTTGGAACGAAAGTAAGTAACAGTAGAAGACCGAATAGAGAATTTTTGGCACGTCTTATTTTCGTACCGTAAACCGGGGCTATAAGGAACAAAACTCTGTGTTCGGGTGGAGTTGAAGTTATCGGGGCCGTGTATGAATAAATTGTGTTACTTGCTTTTGAAAAATTGTTGCTGGGGTAACTGCCAATTCTATTCAATGCAATAATTGCGACTATTAATAATTTTGTGAACAGTAGTAACTAGTATGTGAGTAATTATGTTTTAGTAAAATTTCAAACTTGGGAAACATTTGATTGCCGAGGTAAGTTGTTCCTATTTTAACTTCTCAAAGTAATTTTTTTTTATTAAAGGGATTTATTATGGGAAGTTTTCTTGAGTTCACTAAGTAATAAATACGTTTATTTTGTATTTACAGTAAGATTTACAAGAAAAAACCAAAATTCACAAACGGCGGGTATATAAGGAACACAATTATTTCTTCCGAATTGTTAAAGTGTGTTGTCAAAACGTAAGTTTTTCGTAATTTCGTTTGTTTTTTATCACCTAATTTGGTTTTTAGTGTTCAAAGATGGTTCGAAATTGTAAAATAGTGTTGGTATCGACAAGTCACAAAAAATGACTAGTTATCATCATCGACCTCAACTGATGATACCAGCAACGTTTAGTTTTGTTTTTACATTTGTTTTATGTTCTGTGTTTACTTTCGATCAATAAAAAATAATTTCTTTAACTTTAAATACGTTTTCCAATAGTTTTACCGCCTTGTTCCTTATAGCCCCATTTTGTAATTTCGAAAAAATGCGTCTTTTTCGTATTTTTTGCTTAAAATTCCAGCTTTGATCAAAACAATTCTTTAACCCTTCAAAGTGCTCGCCAGGATCAAGAAAAGAAAAAAAATTAAGGCAATATTTCAATAAAAAAGAAAAGTTGCAAGACTTTAAAGCTGAAATCTGTTCCTTATAGCCCCAGATTACGATAAATAAATATTAATTTACATTTTCTCTATCAAAATGGTGAACTGAAAAAATCGACATCTCTTGTTTGATAACGTTATTTTTCAAAGTCCAGTGAAATATAATACTAACTCAAAATAAAATGCAATATAAAGTTTCTTGAAAATTCCTGAAATAAAATTCTTATTCAACCGCGCCAATTCAAGAAAATGCTACATTTCACAACTTGATCATGCCTACATTTCATTGCAGCCTATATTCTACTACTACCAATATGAGCGAATCAACTGCTGACATCTCAGTACTGATGCAATAATAATAAAATTTGTTGTGAATACGTTCAAGAATTTCTATTTTGTTCAAAAGTATATAATTGACTAACTAGATCACGAAAATTTCACGCATTTTTTACGGTTCAGTTATTATTTTTTAGTGCATTTATTAAAAGAGAATATTTACCGTCATCTGACATATGAATGTCATCATCTTCAATAGTATTTGAATTGTAACGATTATTAGGATTGATGTTGTTATTCCGAATGCCAGCAGAACTGATACGCCTATTATCATCACGAAACTCCACATTGATATCAATTTCCATTGGAATATCATCACGTAATTCATCATTATTAATTCTTTGTTCGTCTTCTAGGTTGTTTTCCTATAATTGAATGATTGAAGTTACCCTGCCAGCACAAGATTTGTGCTCAATATTGGCTCAATACTTTCCATCAATGTCAATCCAATATTTCACAGTAAAAGGTAAAACTTAATTAGATCAGTCTTAAATTTAGCACTGTCTACTCTAATTGTTAAATCATACAAAATCCATTGTTTAAATTCAGCAATGACTGCCTTTAAAATGTTGCTTCTTAATTTAAGATTGCCTTCCTGTCTTGAAGTAAGACTTTTATTTTTACTGTGTTTCTCAACAATTAATATGTCCAAACTGTGGGAATATTACCTAGCAGTGTTAACATAATATTATCTCACTATTGCAAGGCAATATTTTTTCAATATTACGAAGCAATATTCCCACAGGACAAACATAATCAATGTTAAAGCAATACTGCCATGTAATATTGGCACATTATTAGGCTCAAATGTTTTGCTACTTCGGACAGATAATACTCATAAATAAAACTGGTAGTATCATATTATATGTGAACGTTCCACGGTTAAAGGGACGTACCTCAGCTTCCCGTGTAAAAATTTTGACAGGGGCCTGGCCGGGATGAACCAATAAAACCGACTGGGGCCATGGCGCAAACCCGATTTGCCCCCAATTTACCGAGCTTTATTTTCGCTTTATTAAAGATTTATTTTTAATTACATATTAATTTTCTGTTATATATAGTGTTTGTCACTTCCGCTAAAAATGCAATTTTTATAGGATCACGAGAGTATCCTGTACAGTAAATTGGAACAAGGTTCCTGTGCAGGTTCTGATGCAGGAACATTAGCTATCAAATGTTTCATGTAAAAGTTCCTGTAAAGAAAAATTTTTTATTTTTTGAATTTTTAGATTTTAATGATATAGAGTAGAACGGAGCGAGGCAGCAAAGACGGCACATTTTGGTTTGCGACGCAGTTAATTGAATAGGTTTTTTCAATTTTAATATCGCGTTAGAAATCTTGTCATTTTGGCTAAAAAATCGCCAAAGAACATTTTGACGTAGGTTACATTTAAAAATTTCTACAACCCTTTTCCCAAAGGACCACGTTTTTGGTATATTTGCAAAAACGTTGGGTGAGGCGGCTAACTATTTTAATAGTTAAAAAAACATAACTTAAAGTTAAAATTAGTGAAATATAACAAGATAGTTGTCCTTAACTTACTTTTATTTTGTTAATAAACGTCAAAAATTTCCATTTAAATAATATTTTAATAATAACATTAATTAAATTCAATTTAACATTTTAAGGAAATATACAATTGTTATTCTTAAAAATTGTTTTAGAACCTTTTTGGTGAAAAAATCGATGAGTTACAGAATTTCAAAGTTTAGAATGTCAAAAACCTCATTTCGAGAAAATCAAAATCAAAGATTTTAATGCGAATATCTCTGGTTCTTCCAGGAAGTTATTCAGATAAGAATTATTTTAAGTCTAGTACACCTTTAAGATGAAAAATTAATAGGTTTCGAATTCCCCCCTTCCATTTTTAAACAATGAAAAAATAACAGAGTTCCGACAAAAGTGGCCCCTTTTCTGAAATTGTGTTTTTTAATTGATAAACCTGATTGTTTGCGAAGTTACTGGTTGAATGTTATTTTATTGAGTTATTAGAAGTGAAAAAAGAGAAAGTAGACATAAAAAAATTTTTTAAGGAACTTTATTATGAATAATCTTAGGAAATATCGAAATTTTCATTTCTAAAAAAACGAAATTAAAAATTGTAATGCGAATTTCTTTAGTTTTTTTATGAAATTATTCAGATGAAAGTTGTTTTAAGTTTAGTACACCCTTGAGATGAAAAATCAGATTTTGAATTTTTCCGCCCCCTCCATTTTCAAACACAAAAAACTTTTGCAACAGGCTGACAAAGTGGTCCCTTTTCATTTTTTTGTCTAACAACGAAGTAAAGTACTTAAAGTATTAATAAATTAATTAAAAATGCACGATTAGACGATAAAACTATAATATTTTCCTACAAAAATGCCGTACTGTCGGCAGGACAGCGCTGTGTGCGGATGTGCGTCCTACCAGCAGTACACAGCCCCCTGTCCAAACGTACTGCTGGAAGACCCTTCCGTCAGGTTAGGCGCTTGGACTTTACATCATTAAGAGCATCCAGGAAATATCCCTTTAACGCAGTTATAAAAGTTGCATTTTTGGCGAAAGTGACAGTCACTAAGTCAGCAAGCACACAGAAAATTCATATTTCGATAAAATTCAAATCCGAGTTAATCTCTAGAAAAACTAAAATAAGTTTTTGATAGTTTCGATAAGTACTTTCAGAACTTAAAGTCAAAACTTAGTGCACATTCAATGACTTTAAAAATTTTGCACTGTGTTATGCAAAATTTTCTTATGTAGAGTTTATCTCCTAAAAATATATGTAAATAAAATTCAAATCTGAAAAATTTAATTGAGTGTAGAGTTTTTCAAAAATCTAATTATTAAAATGTGTTTATTTCAATAGAATTATCTGATGTTGAATTCAACTGCGTAGAGTTATTCATTCATAAAAAATAAAAATATATTTTATCATGCGTATAATTAAGTTTTGTAGAATTTATAAGTGTAATATTTAATCGTGAAATATAATAATGTGAGAGTTTTCTTGTGTAGAGTTTATTGAGCATTTAATTGCGTTAAATCTCTAACTCTCAAAAATTTCAAAAAAAAGAAAGTATTTCTTTACATTTATATGTTTTGAACATTTAGACAAAAAATATAGTTGACTTAGGGCCTACTAAACTTTTTATTTGTTTCAATATATGTTTTAAATAAGTTTCATTTAGTTTAAATAAAACTTACATTATTGTTGAATAACATTTTAAATTAAAATATAAACAAATAATTTAGGTTTTAATCAAATTTTTCACTAGGTAGACAAATTTTTTATTAATAATAAATTATTTAAAGAATTCACTTGAACGCCGGTTTAGCGAACTTTTTGGGTTGGGAGGTATGTAAGAAATAATACTAGATGCAGGAGGTCTGATTTTATGTTAATTTCTTTTTTTCAATTTTATCAATATTAAATTTAATTTATAAATATATAAATTATTTATTTAATCAATTAAAAAATTGTTTATTACTTTTATCTTCTATTCTTCATTATTAATATAGGTATATATTTTATATATTATACTTTTTCTTATGTACATTGATTTGTAGTATTATGTTTTTGATTTGAAAATTTACTGTTAATCGAAAATTATTATATTTCGAGAATAAAAATTTTGCGTTGTGAAAAGTTATGTAAAAATAATATATAAAAATTCCACCTAAAAAAGTTCGCTTTAGCGGATGAGTCCGTCAGTCAGTCCACTAAACCGACGTTCGAGTGTATAACTTTCTGAAATAATAAAGCAGATTGGCCACAAGTCAAGGAAAAACTGGAAATTATGGAAAAATCAAGACATTTTAATTGAATGATACTACAAATTAAAAAGATTTTCTCAATTCTGCTTTTATTGTACTAATAATTTCTTCGCAATAAAGCTGATTATAATTGTGCCTTTATATTTAAAGTCATTTTAAGTGTTTTTAGTATTTTTAGTTGTTTTCAGTAGCTTTTTTATATTAAAATTTTTATAAGCAAAATTATTTTTAAAATAATTCTAAAACTTTTTGATTATGGAAAAAGAAAAATTTGTCAAGGAAGACTCAGAGAATTAGCTTAAATTTTACATAAGAAGGAAGAAAATCTTGATTGTTAAAAATTATATTACAAGTAGTTATAGTTCTTATACTTACTGTATTCAATTTTTTACACTAAAATAAATTAATTTTTTAAATATTAAAAAATTTGTATCCTCAAGAAACTTGACACAATTATTGTTAATTTTTATAAAACGCGAACTGATGCTGGTCATCTGTATATATTACTAATATACAATAAATTTCTTCAATAGATATCAAAAGAATCGTAAAATTCAATTCAAAAAGTACGTTTTGAAAATAACAATATTAATTTATTAATTAGATAATAATGAGTAAATTTAGTCGATCCGAAAAATTAAAGTAGGAGTAAAAATAAAAAATAATGTAAATTTGGTGAGATATTAAATGTGTTTTTAGTTTTACAATGGGGGATAGTTATAGTGTTTGAGTAAAACGGAACTTTAGCAGCAAGATTTCACTTAAATAACTTATTTATAATATATTTATTTATTATTTTACGTTTTATCATAAGTTAAAAAATATGTGTTTGAAAATATGTTAAATTTACTTCAAATAGTATTACAGAATATTGTAACTATTTTATAATATGAAGTATAATAAAAAATAATAATTACAATTTAAATTAAACAAGGTTAATTTAACAAATTAAAAACTAAAATTGTTTAAAACACATATGAAAAAAATGGTTATTAAAATTAAAAATGTCTAACTTTTCAAATTTTATTTTAAAATTAAGTAAACTTACAGAATTAGACGAATTCAGCGAATTGTTTTCTTCAAATCCTCGAAGCTGTTGCAAAATTCGCCATTGTGTCGAATATGAATAATTTTTAAAACGATTCATTCTGCACTCTTTCTATTTGTTAATATTTTAACTTTCATCAAATAAATTGTATTATTTCTTCAATATATTCATTTTATAAATAAAGTCATATTTAAAAAATTTTGGAACTTAAAAATACAATAGTTAAAAGTACTCGAAATTAAATGTAATTTTGCAAATTTTTTCAATTACAACTTTGACAAATATGATATGAAAATTCGTTCTTCAATTTGAACAAAAACTAAAAAAAAGTGAATTTCAAAAACAAATCATTATAATTTTCTTTCAACTTATTTTAATAAAAATTTTTCAAATTAAATCTTTTTAAGAGAATTTAAGAAATATATACATTTTTTATTCAAAATTCCTAATTCTAAATAAATTTTTTTTTCTGAAAATTAATTCGAAATATTTAAAAATTATTATTATTATATTATTATTGTCACGTCTCCCAATGCAATTGTTTCAATTGACCGCCTTCATACTATTCATTGTCATATGTTATTATTAAAACGCACGAGAAGGAAATCTGACATATGTGATACAGAATCATTGAAAAATGTCGACAAAAAAAACATATTGTTTGATCTTCTGGCAGGAAGAAAAGACTTGCTCTACCATAGAGGAGCCAGCAAAATTAAAGAATATTGCTGATGGAGACGAAGCGAACTTAACCGTTAAAGGAGTTTCATATAAAATTACTGTTATTGCAAGAAGCGGTAAATATAATATTTTTTAAAATAAATCATTATTATTATTAATATTCTAGAAAAGTTAAATTTTTTTTGTTTCTTGAATTTATTTATATTTATATTTATTTATACTTTATTTATATTTATATTTTATTTATTTTTATAATTATAACCTATGTTTTTTACTTGTATATAAATATAGAAAGCAGAACTTTCCTGGACGAAATTGACGTTTCTGAAGATGGAAAAATTATCCCTATCAGTAACAATTCATCAAACAGCGGCCATAGAAAGAAGAACAATTCTTCGGAAAAAACATCAAAGAATAAGAGTAAAGAAGCTGTGCAGACTCAAATAAATAAGGAGGTGATGGGATTAAGACATCTCACAACTGCGACTGCAGAAATCAGCACCAAAACAGAAGGTAATATCAGGGAATTCAGAAAAAAGTCAGGGATATCAGGAAAAAGTAAGGGATTTTTATTAAAAGTACTGGAAAAAATTAAATGTTTAAAATTTATAGGAAAATTCTAAATATTTGTGACTTTTTGTTTGCCTTATAATCAATGAGATTACCACGAATTCTTAAAAAAACCTTACATTTTTTCTATTTCTGAGTAAAATTTATTTTTAATAACTTAATTTTATTAAAGAACTGTAATAAAGTTATTACTTATGAATTATTTAATGAAGTATTTTTTTGAAGAATTTTAATTTTGATCCTGTTGAAATTAATTTGAATTAAAAAATTTTTTAACCCATTTATTTGAAATAATTCAACTATATATTAAAAAATATCCAAACTCTCTCCAGAAAATCAATTATTTTTTAAAAAATTCCCGTCAAAATTTCAATTATCTTTATAAATGGCAAAATTCTCCGTCGAAATTAAATTATATTCAGGAATTTTAATAAAATTCATTGCAAAATTTAATTATTTTTATAAATATTAGTATTCATCACAAGAATTGAATTATTTTTAAAAGATATAAAAAAATTGTAGTTATAATTTCAATTATCTTTATAAATGAATAGCAAAATCCTTGGACAAAATTACATTATTTTCAGAAATTTTAATAAAATTCATTGCAAAATTTCAATTATTTTGAAAAAATTTTTTTATTTCAATGATTTTCAATATTCTATTATTTTAATCAAATTTTTCAAAAGAACTCAGTTATTAAATTGAATTAAAAAAAATAAAAATTTCACAGGAATTCAATATTGTTAAAAATAGAATTTGCATAATGTAAAAAAAAATTTAATTTGGCGTTAAGTTCTTCGCAGTAGTTTCATTATTTTCATTAATTTTAAATTTCCTTTAAGGGATTTAATAATAAAATCATTTTGAGGAAGTAAATTATTTTCATGAATAACAATATTCATCACAAGAATTAAATTATTTTAAAAAGTAATAAAATTCAATTATTTTCAAAAATTTTAATAAAATTCCTACAGCATCATCATTATTATTTTAATAAAATTCATTACAAAGTTCCAATGATTTTAAAAAATTTTTCTTAATTTAATGATTTGTCTATCTATTATTTTAATCGAATTCCTCAAAAACTGTAATTATTTTTAAAAATGTTATTAAAATACGTTAAAAAAATTCAATTATTTAAAAATCTGTTGATAAAATTATGTACAAGAATACAATTTTAAGAAATATTTAATTATTCAGTAAATTATTTATGTTTATATTTAAATATTTGAATTCTCGTAGAATTTTTTAATTAGAATTGTTTTAAAAATGAGTTTTAATTAAAATTCTAGATAATAATTGTATTTTGAAAAGTTATTAACAATTGCAATTTTTAGAAATAATTAAACTTTGTACAAGATTCAAATTAAAAACTTTGGAAATCTGAATTTATCATACTTTCAATTAAAATTTCCATGAAACTAATTTTTTTGAAAAAGCTTAATCGAAATATTTTAAAATTATTTCAAGTTTTTATTTTCAAATGTGCATTTAACTGAAGAACTACCGAATAATCGAAATTTTTTAAAATCGAATTGTAAACCAAAAAACATTTTTAAATTTAAAGTGCCTCAGAAGAAAAATCTTCATGTTAAGAAACACCAAATTGTATCGACAGAAGAAAGAGTATCAAGAGCAGCGAATTTTTCAAGTGAAGAAAAAACAGATTCTGATGACAGTGATAATATTCGAGATATAAAAGAGCCAACTGGTACAAATAAGATAAAAATTCCGAAAGGTACAATATAAATTGAATGTTTATTAAAATTAAATTCTTATAAAAAATTGTATCAAAAAATTTTTAAAGAATTGAATTCTTTTGAGGAATTTAATTAAAATTAAATTATTTTTAGTAATTTTAATGAAATTCATTGCAAACTTTAATTATGTTCGTAAATAATGTATTTATCTCAAGAATTAAATTATTTTTAAAAATTTCAATAAAACTCACAGCAAAATTTCTATTATTTTGAAAATTTTTTCTTATTTCAATGATTTTCAATATTGTATTATTTTAATAAAATTTTCCAAAAAAACTCAATTATTAAACAAAATTTTCGATAAAATTCTACACAAACATTCAGTTATTTTCCAAAAAAATAAAAATTTCACAGGAATTCATTTGTTAAAAATAAAATTTGCACAATTTAAAAAAAAATTTTAATTTGGCGTTAAATTCTTCGCAGTAGTTTAATTATTTTCATTAATTTTAAATTTCCTTTAAGAGATTTAATTGTAAAATCATTTTGAGGGAGTAAATTATTTTCATGAATACCAATATTCAACACAAGAATTAAATTATTTTAAAAAGTAATAAAATTAAATTATTTTCAAAAATTTTAATAAAATTCCTACAGCACCATCATTATTATTTTAATAAAATTCATTACAAAGTTCTTAAAAATGTTATTAAAATACGTTTAAAAAATTCAATTGTTTAAGAATCTGTTAAATTATTTATGTTTATATTTAAATATTTGAATTCTCGTAGCATTTTTTAATTAGAATTGTTTTAAAAATGAGTTTTAGTTAAAATTCTAGATAATAATTGTATTTTGAAAAGTTATTAACAATTGCAATTTTCAGAAATAATTAAACTTTGTACAGGATTCAAATTAAAAACTTTGCAAATCTGAATTTATCGTACTTTCAATTAAAATATCCATGAAACTAATTTTTTTGAAAAAGCTTAATCGAAATATTTTAAAATTATTTTAAGTTTTTATTTTCAAATGTGCATTTAACTGAAGAACTACCGAATAATCGAAATTTCTTAAAATCGAATTGTAAACCAAAAAACATTTTTAAATTTAAAGTGCCTCAGAAGAAAAATCTTCATGTTAAGAAACACCAAATTATATCGACAGAAGGAAGTGTATCAAGAGCAGCGAATGTTTCAAGTGAAGAAAAAACAGATTCTGATGACAGTGATAATATTCGAGATATAAAAGAGCCGACTGGTACAAATAAGAAAAAAATTCCGAAAGGTACAATATAAATTGAATGTTTATTAAAATTAAATTCTTATAAAAAATTGTATCAAAAAATTTTTAAAGAATTGAATTCTTTTGAGGAATTTAATTAAAATTAAATTATTTTTAGTAATTTTAATGAAATTCATTGCAAACTTTAATTATGTTCGTAAATAATGTATTTATCTCAAGAATTAAATTATTTTAAAAAATTTCAATAAAACTCACAGCAAAATTTCTATTATTTTGAAAATTTTTTCTTATTTCAATGATTTTCAATATTGTATTATTTTAATAAAATTTTCCAAAAAAACTCAATTATTAAACAAAATTTTCGATAAAATTCTACACAAACATTCAGTTATTTTCCAAAAAAATAAAAATTTCACAGGAATTCATTTGTTAAAAATAAAATTTGCACAATTTAAAAAAAATTTTAATTTGGCGTTAAATTCTTCGCAGTAGTTTAATTATTTTCATTAATTTTAAATTTCCTTTAAGGGATTTAATTGTAAAATCATTTTGAGGGAGTAAATTATTTTCATGAATAACAATATTCAACAAAAGAATTAAATTATTTTAAAAAGTAATAAAATTAAATTATTTTCAAAAATTTTAATAAAATTCCTACAGCACCATCATTATTATTTTAATAAAATTCATTACAAAGTTCTTAAAAATGTTATTAAAATACGTTTAAAAAATTCAATTGTTTAAGAATCTGTTAAATTATTTATGTTTATATTTAAATATTTGAATTCTCGTAGCATTTTTTAATTAGAATTGTTTTAAAAATGAATTTTAGTTAAAATTCTAGATAATAATTGTATTTTGAAAAGTTATTAACAATTGCAATTTTCAGAAATAATTAAACTTTGTACAGGATTCTAATTAAAAACTTTGGAAATCTGAATTTATCGTACTTTCAATTAAAATATCCATGAAACTAATTTTTTTGAAAAAGCTTAATCGAAATATTTTAAAATTATTTTAAGTTTTTATTTTCAAATGTGCATTTAACTGAAGAACTACCGAATAATCGAAATTTCTTAAAATCGAATTGTAAACCAAAAAACATTTTTAAATTTAAAGTGCCTAAGAAGAAAAATCTTCATGTTAAGAAACACCAAATTATATCGACAGAAGGAAGTGTATCAAGAGCAGCGAATGTTTCAAGTGAAGAAAAAACAGATTCTGATGACAGTGATAATATTCGAGATATAAAAGAGCCAACTGGTACAAATAAGAAACAAATTCCGAAAGGTTCAATATAAATTGAATGTTTATTAAAATTAAATTCTTATAAAAAATTACATCAAAATTTTTTTAAATAATTCAATTCTTTTGAGAAATTTAATTAAAATTGTACTGAAAATAATTGTTATTTTGTGCTAAATTTCAATATTTATCAAAATGATTAAAATTCCTAAGAATAATTTTATGAAGATTTTTATAAAAAAATGTTAAACAATTGATTTTTTAGAAATAATGTATGCAAATTCTACTTTAAATAATTGAATTGAATTTGAATTCCCGTAAAATTTATTTTACTTTAGAAAATAATTTAATGTTCGTATAGAATTTTGTCAGAAAATTTTTTAAAATATTAAAAATTTTTAAAAATAATTAAATTTCAGAGAAGAATTTTGCTATTTATATAAAGATATTTGAAATATGACAAGAATTTAAAATCAATTTTTTAAATAATTCAATATCTGTGAAGAATTTTATTAGGTTAAAAAATTTTTAATTCACAAAAAATGTTTATTTTTGTATAAATTTAAAGAAATTTCCCTGACTTTGAATGAAATTCTCTGACATTCCCTGACTTTCCTGACTGTTAAATACCCTGTTGGTGTATAACTAATAAAAGTATATTTTTATAGATGGAAGTTTTCCTCTGGGAGACCAAAATGCTGGCAACGCTACGAACTCTATTAACAATGTGCCAGAATTCATGAACTTGATGTTCCCAAAAGGTTAGAATTAATTTACAAAGAATTACATGAAATTATTACCTATGTTAAACCTTATTATATTGTATTATATGTATAATATCATCATTTTAATAATGGGTGTTCGAAAAAAAATTCATACATAGTTCTACAAGAAAACTCTTTTAGTTAAATGGACATTTTTAGTCAATTTATATTCTATTGCTTCAATATATTTCATATTTCAAAGTAGAATAATATTCTGTAATTTAAATTACATTGTTATTTCTGTTTTAGTAACTCCAGAAATAGTCGCATTCCTTGGGCAATTAGCAATTTATGCACAAAATAAATTGCATGAAAATGCAACAGAAAATCCAGTTAGTCATTTTTTATAATGGAAATTTATATTTATTTTCAAAAAATCTAAATATTAAACTACATTTAACCCTCACAAATATAGTTTGCCAATACGACGTCGAGCGAAAATACTGTTCCACAATCATCATCATCCACATCATCAATAGCGGTGGTTGTTAATGGCGAGTTATTCATCAACCCCAGACACGAAATAGAATTCTTGCGTTTCAAAAAACGCCCTGAAGAAATGATTAGGCGTTTAATGTTAACCTTAGTAGGAAAGGAAGAACTAAAGACAATGACCGCTCTTGGTTATTCTAGATCCGGAAGAGAAGGCAAGCCAATTCCGGAAGACATAAGAAATGCTGTTTATAGTGCGTATATTTATAAATTATGATTAACCAGGGTGTTTAACAAGAGTTATCAAAAAAAATTTCTTGACTTCTCCTAGATTTTTTACTAAATTTATTTATGTTTTCTTGTTAAAGAAATATGTTTACTAATATCACAAGTGCGAAAACCAATGCGGCCCAACACTGGCCCAGTATTGGCAAAGCTGGCATTGAGACTTGGCTGACAATATTGGCCCGACTTTGCGCCGACTCTTGTGGTATTAACAGCGGTTGGACGTCGGCAGCCAGATCTCAGCAGACATTAATGGCCCAATATTGGCTGCCATTACTCCCCCAGTATTGACAAAATTAGAAAAAAAAAAATAAATTTTTTTTATTCAATTAACTAATTAATTTATAACTTTTATACGGCTTATTTCCCTAAATTAAACGCAAACTTACAAATATTTGAAAAATTCTTACCTTCGCGGGGATCGATACCTGAACCTGACGCACCACAGCCTAACCACTCTGCTACACTGACTTAAAGTCGAGGAAGCAAAAGGGTTCTTATAAGCTACACTACACTGGCCGATACTGTGCCATTCTTGGGCCAAGCTACACCCCAATTCTGGCAATTATATTTTGCCATCAAAGATACAAAATGTTTGCCATTAAAGTGCCACTAATGAGCCATTAATGGACCGATCTTCGTCACATCACTGGCAATTGAATTTTGCCTTCAAAGATTGATCAACTTTGCCGTGAATGTGCCATTATTGGGCCAAGCAACGCCCCAATTCTGGCAATTATATTTTGCCATTAAAGTGCCATTAATGTTCCTTTAATGAGCCAATCTTCGTCACATCATTGGCAATTGAATTTAAAAAAATTTTAATATCAAAATTCATGCTATGTTTTTAACATTTAATTATTATCTAAAAATTTGACTAGAATCCATTTTGAAATCAATTTTTACTAGAAAATTCTACGAGAATTTAATTATTTAAATGCAAAAATAAATAATTTATTGAATAAATTGAAAATTTCTTAATTTTTAGATAATAAAGGAAAAATTTTACTCAAAAAAAAGGTTTCTGTTACATTTATTTACGAATTTCTTTAATCGTAAAATTATTTGAAAACATTAATAACTTCTTTTTTAAATTAATACTTAATTAAACTTTTTCAAAAAAAATTAATTCTTTAAAATTGACAGTAAAAAATATAGAAAATTCAAAGTTTCGAATTTTTTTTATTTGAATCCTTTTCAAGCTTATTCAATTATTTAAATACAAAATAAATAATTTATTGAATAACTGAATGTTTCTTAAAATTAAATTCTTATAAAAAATTTTACCAAATTAAAATGCCATTAATGTACCTTTAATGGGCCGATCTTCGTCACATCACTGGCAATTGAATTTTCCCATTAAAGATTGATCCACTTTGACAATAACGTGCCGTTATTAGGCCAAGCTACGCCCTCATACTGGCAATTAAAATTTGCCATCAAAGATACAAAATGTTTGCCATTAAAGTGCCACTAATGTGCCATCAATGAGCCGTTCTTCGTTACATCACTGGCAATTGTCTTTTACCATTAAAAATTGATCAACTTTGCCGTGAATGGGCCATTATTGAGCCAAACTACTCCCTAATACTGGTAATTATAATTTACCATGAACGATACAAACTTTTTGCCATTAAAGTGCCACTAATGAGCCATTAATGGGCCGATCTTCGTCACATCACTGTCAATTGTCTTTTGCCATTAAAGATTGATCAACTTTGCCATGAATGTGCCGTTATTGAACCAAGCTACGCCCCAATACTGGCAATTATAATTTGCCATCAAAGATACAAAATGTTTGCCATTAAAGTGCCATTAATGGGCCGATCTTCGTGATATCACTGGCAATTGAATTTTACCATTATAGATTGATCAACTTTGCCAATATTGTGCCGTTATTGAGCCAAGCTACTCCCCAATACTGGTAATTATAATTTTCCATGAACGATACAAATTTTTTGCCATTAAAGTGCCAATAATGAGCCATTACTGGGCCGATGGTCGGCACATCACTGGCAATTGTCTTTTGCCATTAAACACCAATAATGGCCCAGTAACTACTGCCAATTCTCGGCAGACATTACTGCATCAATGATGGTCCGTTTTTGCAGTCTTGGCATTTCGCACTTGGGATATTAAACTATAAATTAATAATAAAATCTATATTAACTTTCTTTTAAACTTTTCTTTTTAAATATTTTGAATTTTAAAAAATCATTGATTTCTTGCAAAGAATCTTATAAAATTTGAAGAGAATAATTATTAAATTCTTTCGAACCATTTTTTTATTTATAGGGGAGGGTGGTCCCATACCGACCCTCTAAAGTGCAAAGGCCAAAAATGTGCCAAAAATGTGTTTCTTTGTCTTCGTCAAAATTTTTTTGAGTAAAGGAACTAGTTTTCAATGTTTTCTGACGATTGCCGAGGTTTCTGATTGTCATTAATAAAAGATCTAAAGAAAAAGCGAAAATTTACGTTTTTAACTTTTTCAAAATGGGTGGTCCGAAACCGACCCCCCCTTTTTTTGGGGAAAATCTCAAGAATAATCAAGATATAAAATTTTGATAGTAATTAAAATAAAATTCAACAGTCTGCAATGAACTGTTAAATTATTTTGACTTCATTTAAATACATTTTTGGACCTTTTTCCAAAAGAGTTAAAGTTAAGTGATAAATGCTATGATTGTTAGTAAAATATTTTCTAAATTCCTAAAAAATAAAAGTAAATATGCAAAACCTATCCTCACTTCATGTGAACAATAAGGAAGAAGAGAATAAACAATTACAATGTAAAAATATGGGGGTCGGATTGGGACCACCCCTTGGGGGTCGGTTTCGGACCACCCCCACTATTTTCACAAAATGTTTTGCCAATCACTTATATCAATGGAATCAATTTAATTTGAATGTTGTGCGTTGAAGTTAAGGTCATACACAATCAAAATTAATTTCGTAAAAATTTTCCTGTATTCAAAAAACACTGTTAGCTCGAATTCCGTATAGGTCAAAAATTAATTTAAACAATGCTAAAAACTAATATTGCTTGAATCTTCAAAATGAAATCAAACGCATTGATAAAACCTGTGGCCCAGTTGTTGGTGTTGTGAAAGTGTTCGACTGATGGTACTGACGAATTTTTTAGTGGTACCATCTTCAAGAAACATAGGGGGGTCGGTATGGTACGAGGGGTCGGTATGGGACCACCCTCCCTAAAAATAATTCAATTCTTTTGAAGAACTTCTACGAACTTTTTTAAAATAATAGTTTTTTCAATAATTTTAATTGAAGATTTTGAAAGCAATTGAATTTTATGAAGAAGAATTTTATTACAATTGTATTGAAAATAATTATGAATTCCTGAGAAGAATTATATGTAAAAATAATTTAATTTGCAATGAATTTTACTATTTATAAAAATAATTGAATTCTTGCGAAGAATTTTACCATTTATAAAAATAATTGATTTGTTTCGAAGGATTTATTAAGATTTTAGAAAATAATTTAATTTATTTCCTAACTAACATTTTCTAATTTTTTGTCAATTAACTTCCCTTGTAATGTTAATGTTAATTAAGTCTTGAATCGAAGAAAGTAGAACATTTAAAAATTTTAAAATACATATTAACTTTCAAAAATTCTATACAGAATATGTGAAAAATAAGTCAAAGGCATTAACGTACGAAAAATACGTGGAAGTCCTAAATAACCAATGTGGTACATTAAGAAAACCGAGAAAAAACAACGACACTAAGAAAAGCGACAAATCTAACGAAACAACTGGACAAGGAAAAGAAGTCGAAAATGTTGATAATGAAGATAAATCAGAAGAACGGTATTATTTATTATTATTTAATAAAAGTTAATGAAAATATGAAAAAATCTTTTACTTTGGAAATATTACAATCTAATGAGAGAAAATTATACAAACTAAAATAACGTAGAGTACCCATAAAATTTATTGTATTGTGTTATAAAAAAATAATAATTTATAAATTTTCGTATAGAATAATCACAAATTTCAAAAAATTAATAAATAATAATTTTTTAAAACCTCAACTCACATCTTTTAAACTTCATATTTACAAAATAAACACGAAAATAAAAACTAGAATACTTCTCAAATAATTTCAAAAATATAAAATATATTAAATGTAAATTTACTAATTTCAAATAAATAGCTAAAACTATGTGTCTCAAAAAGAAATTTATTTTCCAACAGTGAAAATTTATCAAAACCAACCGCAGAAAAGAGGGCTAAAAAACGCAAACCAGAAGAGTAAGCAGTTTCTGGCCTATGGCGTCCACAAGCTACAAACCTCCAGTGTCGTTGATGATGACAAAATCTTCATTGATTGGTCGATAGCACAAAATTTTACATTCTTTCTACTCAAATTCTTTAATTCTTTAAATTAATTAATTAATTCTTTAAATTCTTTAATTCAAATTCTTTCTTTTCAATTTCTTAAACTTTAGTCGTAACTTAGAAAAAGCTTTCGGTGCCATTTCGTCGGCAGAGAATTATATTGAGTCATGTCCATTTTTGAAATTTTTTTAATAATCAGTGCTTTTGATTCAACAAGCTGTTGGACCATAAGTTTCTTAAATGATTAATTGAATATAAATATTTTAAAGACTATAATATATTTCGAAAAATGATCTTAATTTAAACTAAATATATATAATGATTCCAAAATACAATAAATTAAACTGTTAAAACACTCAATCCAATGATTTGACCTTTATTAAAAAATTTTATGCCAGAAATTGCAGTTTCAGAAAGCAATAGCTTATGTAAAATAAAGTTAATAAAAAAATTTACCATTTATTCAGCCGTCATTTTTGTAACATAAGAAAGGAAAAGGGTGACCCCAGGGTTTTGCCGAAATTGGCAAATGTACAAAAATTCAAAAACAATTCAAAAATCTTCAGCAAGGACTTTGGCAACCTTAAGAACGGCAAAACCTGATCCCAAGGTTGTCCCAGGGTAGAATAATGTTACAAGAAATTGAATAGAATTCAAAGTTCTTCAGCAACGGTCTTAACGACCTTAAGAACGGTAAAATCTGATCCCAGGATTGGCCCAGTGTTGGAAAATGTAAAAAAATTCAAAATTCTTTAGCTACGGTTTTAACGACCTTGAGAACGGCAAAATATGATCCCAGGGTTGTATAATGTTCTAAAAATTGAAAAAAAAAATAAAAGTTTTTCAGCCACTGTTTTAACGACTTTAAGAATGGCAAAATCTGATCCCAAGGTAGTCCCAGGGTTGGAAAATGTAAAAAAAATTGAAAAAAATTCAAAGTTTTTTAGCCACTGTTTTAACGACTTTAAGAACGGTAAAACATGATCCCAAGGTTGTCCCAGGGTTGGAAAATCTAAAAAAAATTGAAAAAAAATTCAAAGTTTTTCAGCCACTGTTTTAACGACTTTAAGAATGGCAAAATCTGATCCCAGGGTAGTCCCAGGGTTGGAAAATGTAAAAAAAATTGAAAAAAATTGAAAATTCTTCAGCCACTGTTTTAACGACTTTAAGAACGGTAAAACCTGATCCCAAGGCTGTGCCAGGGTTGGAAAATGTAAAAAAAATGAAAAAAAATTCAAAGTTTTTCAGCCACTGTTTTAACGACTTTAAGAACGGTAAAACCTTATCCCAGGGTTGTCCCAGGGTTGTCCCAGGGTTGGAAAATGTAAAAAAATTGAAAAAAAATTCAAAGTTTTTCAGCCACTGTTTTAACGATTTTAAGAACGGCAGAATCTGATCCCAGGGTAGTCCCAGGGTTGGAAAATGTAAAAAAATAGAAAAAAAATTCAAAATCCTTCAGCCACTGTTTTAACGACTTTAAGAACGGTAAAACATGATCCCAGGGTTGTCCCAGGGTTGAAAAATGTAAAAAAATTGAAAAAAAATTCAAACTTTTTTAGCCACTGTTTTAACGACTTTAAGAATGGCAAAATCTGATCCCAGGGTTGTCCCAGGGTTTGGAAAATGTAAAAAAATTGAAAAAAAATTCAAACTTCTTCAGCCACTGTTTTAACGACTTTAAGAACGGTAAAACCTGATCCCAAGGTTGTGCCATGGTTGGAAAATGTAAAAAAAATGAAAAAAAAATTCAAACTTCTTCAGCCACTGTATTAACGACTTTAAGAACGGTAAAACCTGATCCCAAGGTTGTCCCAGGGTTGGAAAATGTAAAAAAATTGAAAAAAAATTGTAACTTCTTCAGCCACTGTTTTAACGACTTTAAGAACGGTAAAACCTTATCCCAGGGTTGTCCCAGGGTTGGAAAATGTAAAAAATTTAAAAAATATTCAAAGTTTTTCAGCCTCTGTTTTAACAATTTTAAAAACGGCAGAATCTGATCCCAGGGTAGTCCCAGGGTTGGAAAATGTAAAAAAATTGAAAAAAATTCAAACTTCTTCGGCCACTGTTTTAACGACTTTAAGGACGGTAAAACCTGATCTCAGGGTTGTCCCAGGGTTGGAAAATGTAAAAAAATAGAAAAAAAATTCAAAATTTTTCAGCCACTGTTTTAACGACTTTAAGAACGGTAAAATATGATCCCAGGGTTGTCCCAGGGTTGGAAAATGTAAAAAAATTGAAAAAAAATTCAAACTTTTTTAGCCACTGTTTTAACGACTTTAAGAATGGCAAAATCTGATCCCAGGGTTGTCCCAGGGTTTGGAAAATGTAAAAAAAATGAAAAAAAATTCAAACTTCTTCAGCCACTGTATTAACGACTTTAAGAACGGTAAAACCTGATCCCAAGGTTGTCCCAGGGTTGGAAAATGTAAAAAAATTGAAAAAAAATTGTAACTTCTTCAGCCACTGTTTTAACGACTTTAAGAATGGCAAAATATGATCCCAGGGTTGTCCCAGGGTTGGAAAATGTAAAAAAAAAAATGAAAAAAAATTCAAACTTCTTCAGCCACTGTATTAACGACTTTAAGAACGGTAAAACCTGATCCCAAGGTTGTCCCAGTGTTGGAAAATGTAAAAAAATTGAAAAAAAATTCAAACTTCTTCAGCCACTGTTTTAACGACTTTAAGAATGGCAAAATCTGATCCCAGGGTTGGAAAATGTAAAAAAATTGAAAAAAAATTCAAACTTTTTTAGCCACTGTTTTAACGACTATAAGAATTGCAAAATCTGATCCCAGGGTTGGCCCAGGGTTGGAAAATGTAAAAAAAATTGAAAAAAAATTCAAATTTTTTTAGTCACTTTTTTAACGACTTTAAGAATGGCAAAATCTGATCCCAAGGTTGGCCCAGTGTTGGAAAATGTAAAAAAAAATTGAAAAAAAATTCAAACTTTTTTAGCCACTGTTTTAACGACTTTAAGAATGGCAAAATCTGATCCCAAGGTTGTCCCAGGGTTGGAAAATGTAAAAAAATTGAAAAAAAAATTCAAAGTTTTTCAGCCACGGTTTTGGAGATCTTAAAAACGGCAAAATCTGATCCCAGGGTTGTGGCGGTGTTGGTTATTGTATCAAATTGAAAAAAAATGCAAGGTCTTCAGCCGCTGTAAAAACAAGCTGTTCCCATTGCCTGGGAAACTTTCATAAGCCAGGGTGGCCCCTGAGTGTAGATCTTATTTGGCCCGGCCTTGCGCCAAGGTTGGCACTTGCTTTTTGAAACCTTTACCCATGGTGTCGCCAGCCTTTTGTCATTTTTACGCGGGCTAAGAGCTGGCTACGAAAATTTGCAACGATAAGCTATAAGGCAAGTTTTTCTATAAATGCCTTCCTCCTTAACACATAAACACATTACCTAGCCGCCAGAAGGCGCAAAATTTTGATGAAAAAAAATGATCAGGTGCAAGGCTGAATTTTTGTAAGATAGTAGATATTGTCTGTACAAATCAAGTAAAATTATTGCCAGAAGTCTAGGTGTGCAATTTGACCTTGCCAGAAGTCGATAAAGACGCAAGAAAATTGATGAAATTGAAATGATAATGTGCATTTCCGGCAACTTAATTTTCTGATTGTAAATGTCTTTAAAAAGCTGTATACCAATTGCCAGAAGTCAAAATGGTTGTAAAGTCGTTAAAAGATAACAATAAATAACAATATCAGCAGTAGTTATAGTGTAGAATCCGCTTAAAGATTCGATATAAAATTCTAAGAACTGAGAAACTATAGTGCGAGGCACTGTTGACGATCAATCTTTCATATAGAGTTGTCAACTATATGTCTATACGTTTTGCTTTGTAGACGTAGTTAAATCTCTGTCATTATTTTCCTTGCAAGATAGATTGACAATGTAAAAAATGGCATTAGAACCATTTTGCGTTTTTAAGTGTACTAACAGTACTGACAGAGTTATTCTTTTTAATAAAGAAAAGTTAATTAAGTTTAGTGAAATACTAACTATACGTGCATTGTTAAATTTAAAATATTCTGATGAAAAAATTAGAATATAAATTCTTCTGTATACAACACTAAGAATTTAGAATCTATAATATTTGTTATTCATGCAACAAATGAAAATGATGTACTCAAACAACGTAACAAAGATCGGCTCGACAACCTCCATTGGTGCAGAAACTGATTCTTAGAAAGAAATATCAATACTCAACAAATCCTTCCTTCATGTTCTATCGGACATTTTAAATTTTAAAAATCCGACCTCAGATTCGTTATCAGCGACTCGAAAACTGTTGGAATACTGAGTATCAGTATGATTTGCCTAATTTTTTATTATTTCGACAGACATATTGTATTTTTGTCGTTTGATCGTCCATATTGGATCGGCCATTTTGAATTTTGAAAGTTGCAATGCAGATTCTCAACGAGTATAGGCCTCAGTCCCAAAATATACCTTTAGCAACATTTCTAGAATTTATTTGTGCAAGTTGTTTCAGTTTCAATGTTCATAACTTTTAAAAAATACGAAAATAACCAAATTTAGGCACTTACAGCACAGACGTCATTTTGAATTTTGGAAATGCGGCAAGGGTTTCAAATTCTGTGATACTTGAAGCTTCATGCCACCAAAGTGCATTCATTTTCATTAAAAATTGACGTGGTTACAGAATTTCGACGCCTCTTACTACATTTTGCCCCACTGTGCGGTAGTAGATTGTAAAGAAAAATATTTAAGATGAAGTTTTGCACAGTAATTTTAAAAACGATAATAGTAGAAACTTTTAAGGGGTTTTGGACTTTTTTAGCCCTAAAAACGGAAGTTTTTAAAAAATTGTTTGCTTATAAGTTTTAAAATACAATAAATCAGGGGTTAAAAAACTGTATTAAGTCGTCTATCTTAAAATCATAAGACAAACAATACCACCAGCTACAGACCAATAACGAAAAAAAATATTTCTAATGAACAATTTGGATTTAAAAATAAAATCTCAACGATGCATACTATTACCAAATTAACATCTGACATAAATAAAGCTTTTTTGGAGGATAATGTCGTAACTGCCTGTCTGGTGGACCTTAAAAAGGCTTTCGATACAGTATGGCTGGACGGTTTATTTTTTAAAATGATT